GATAGTGTCTTATTGGAATCTTTGGAAAGAAGATTTGAAGCCCAAGAAGTGAGAAATGCAATCTTCTCCATGGGTCAAGCTAAAGCTCCTGGGCCTGATGGTTTTTCGATGGCCTTCTATCAAGATTGTTGGGAGATAATTAGAGAGGATTTGTTGGAGGTTTTTGAAGAGTTCTATGAGAGAGGCAAATTTAACTCGGGAGCAAATGCAACTTTAATTGCCTTGGTTCCTAAGAAGGACGCTCTCCAACCAAAGGATTTCAGACCTATAAGCCTGTTGGGAAGCATGTATAAGATCATCTCTAAGGTCCTAGTGCTAAGATTAAAAAATATCCTCCCGTCTCTAATCTCACCGTATCAAGGGGCCTTTGTAGAAGGAAGACAAACTGTAGATCAAATACTTATTGCCAATGAATGTGTTGAGATGAAGAGGAGGAGAAAGGAAAAGGGATTGGTTTGCAAATTGGATCTTGAAAAGGCATATGACATGGTGGACTGGGATTTTTTACTAGAGAGACTGCAAGGGAGAGTCTTTTTTGGGCAGTGCTGTAATGTTTGATGTTTATTGGATCAACCTTTTCTAATAAGGGTTGAATTCTGTATTTCAGGTTAATTTATCTCTAATGAAAGTTATCGTTTCTGATAAAAAAAAAAAGTATAACATCAGGAATAAAGAAGTAAAGAACAACAAAGGAATGGAGAAAGGCAACTAAAAATTGCATGCACATCAAATCAAAGAAGCAACATCAACTAGAAACATTTATAGAAAGAATAGCTTATTTCTGTATCTCTAAACGAAGCACATAGATTCACACAAAAGGTTTTGAAGTTCTGTAAATATGTAATACTTCAAAAGGAAAACAGATAAAAAAGATGAAAGAGAGAAAGAAAAGCTCATTATATATATTCAGTTAACAAAACTTACGCTGAGCAAGATGGAAAACGAGATGAGAGTTTTAAAAGAGCAACCAGACACATGGCACGAGTGGTGATATCTGATGTATGGCGCTTTATGGCAATCTCTACAACATCCACCGCATCAGATTCTGTTACCTGATATGGAAAACTCAAGTTGGTCCTACTCATTTTCAGAGAAATGAATACATTAAGGGACAAGTAGAAAAAGGACATAAAAATAGCCCACTGGAACAACATGCTCATGGAAGAAACTAGCACTCCCATGTTGTAAATGATTGGATAAATTTTGTGATTCACAAATAAAACGTTAAATAAATTCTAATATGATCAACCACATCAATTACAAGATGTACTCTACCATATGCTGTGCATAAAGGTGACAGGTTGAAAAATAGAAACCCAAATTATTACATGTGTATATGTCATATTCACATGAACTTGAAACCAGTTGCTTAAACCATCATCCGATCTCTATTTTTGAGAGATTTTTACAAACAGAAATAATCTCATGATTTAAATTATAATTCACAATTTGATTAACCTTCTCTGTGATTTAAAATATGACTGCAATCAGAATATTTTCTCTAACTAACTTTGGTGAATTGATTGGTAATCTGGGCCAAGAAACGATGACATCATTGCCTTGGATAAATGCTACATGTGGAGTTTTTCTCATTTTTAGCTTGACACCATTGATGTAAAGGATTTTTAAGTGTCAAACAGTAAAGGACATGTGGAGCTTTCTTTGTCTTCATTTTGAAAATGAGTTGTCAACTTCTAGGGTTCCACCTCATTGCAATTCAAGAACGGCCAAATGTAAGCACTGAGGAGAAGGTCACTACGCTGGAGAACCATTGATGTTTTGTTTCTTTAGGGGAATAAGGGAAAAAAGTAAAATATGAATTTTTTAGGTGGAAACAGTAACGTCTCCAAGCATATTCAGAGGTATTTGCATTACAATTATAGGGTGGGCTTTGATTTAGAAAGAGTTTAAGGACATAAAGAGAATTGATATCAAGAATCAGTGGAATAAGATTGTGAAGCATCGACAATATACTTGACTGTATTTGTTGTAGATTCTTTGCTCCTAGGAAGTCATCTTGCTTGTATGAAGGATCTGTTTTCCAGTCTATTTAAAGATCTTTACTCATGCATATTAGTAAAGTTGCCTTTCTTTCCAATCAATAACAGAACTTTATTAGCAAATTAAAAAGAAACATATACAAGAAGAAATGGGAGAGGAAAACTCTCTTAACCCTCCCTGAAAAGAAACAAACAACCTTCTTCATTAGCAACTTTCAATAATCCATTCTCCTCCTTTTACAACCAGCTTTGAGTCACCTTCAACTATCAGCTTACTTATATTAAGTTCCTTAGCCCTTTTTATACCTTCCATTACTGTCATCACCTCAGCTCTAAGTGAATCACCTTCACCAATAGAGCCTGAGAAAAAAAGCAATAACTTTCCCTTCCTCAATCCTGAAAACTCCAATGCCTGACGGACCTGGGTTGCCTTCATTGCTTCCATTGAAATTCAGCTTAATGTAAACCACAAACTGGTAGAGACCAAAAGTGGTTAAGAACAGTTTCGAGGGGGGCTGAATTCGCCACCATTAAAATGGTATCTGGGTTTCTACCTTCATAGGAAATGAGAAACACCAGTCCTACCAAGTTATTTCATGAGGGCCCAAGTTTGCCCTGGGAGGGAGGGGGTTGAGCCACTACAAAGCTCATAAACAATAAAATTAGGGAGAAGTATGCACTCACAGTAATTGGATCCTCTTTGTCAAGCATCCCAATACCATTGACCAGCATTTCCCCATATTCCCCAATGCACCAAACCACCACTCGAACAAGAATTTCCTGAGAAGAGAATTAAAATAAACCTCTCAAAGCAATGTAAACGGAAAGAACTCCCTCTCGATCAGTAAAATGCTAAAATATCAATGAGAACATTATTGCTCATAAAAAAAAAAAAAGAAAAAGATAGATAGACTAAACTCTTAGAGTCTGAGAGCCCGTTTGGTGCAGCTTTTTGAGAAGATCTTGTAGCTCTGACAGTCAAAAGACGCATTGAGCTTTTGACATAAGATCTGGGCAGCCCGAAGACAGTTTGGCAGACGTACATCTTTCCATATGTCTGCCCGCGTCTTTCCGCGCAAGATTAAAACGCGAAAGACGCGGGAACTTCATTTGAAGCTTCCCAAAATCAGCCCGAAATGGGCTTCTCGCGTCTTTTTGGCACACCGTCTTTTGGCAGCTAGATCTTCCGCGAGCCAAACGGGAATAGACCGAAAATCGGTCTTCCCGGATTATAAACAGCGAAAAGACACGCCAAACGGGCCCTTAGTATATAAGCATTGCATGCATTTTAAATTTAAGTACCTGTTCACTTGATATTTGGAATGCCCTGTAAAGGGACCTTACAGTATATCCATGGAGGTCAGATGCATTGCTTATCACAACTATAAGGCCATGCCATACTTCATCCTTCACAAAGTTTCCAGCCTAGAATCACAACAAGAATGAGTACAATTGCAACTGAATAACATACATCAGAATTAAAAGGAAAATAACTAAAAGAGAAAACATTGGAGGCCACTTGAAACAGTTATCAGATAAAGATAAATAAAATGATTATAGTGGTTGCTTCTTCAGGAAACGGTATCTTTCTTTTGAAATTAAAAATAGAAGCAGTGATTGTAAAACTAATCTTATTATTATAGACAAAAACAATAATACAAACACACTACTATTATAAAGCATGACTTTGTACAAAAACCATATTTTCTGGTACATTAACTCAAGAGTCAAACAAAACAATAACTGAACTGAAAGAGTAACTGAAAATAATAAAAAGTCAAAAGGCTTTTCCATAACCAAATGAAATGGTGTCTCACCAATCAACTGCAATGACTCAAGCTAATTGTCCATGTTTTGGCATTAACTCACATGATATAAAAATACAATAATGACACAAGTAACTTACATGATATAGAAAAACAACAATGATACCAGTAACTTACATGATATAGAGAAACAGTAAGGACAGTAAAAGATTTTTGGGTTAGTATTTATCTTATGCCAGCAATTTTTTAGATAAAATCAAGACATTGTGCATAAGCTTTAACAAGCATATGAGATAAAAACAGATCTGCAGTTTCTTCTTTAGCATAGGGAGAAGTAAAAAAATGGCCAATATTCTGTAGCAGCAAAGTGAAGTTGTGGCCAATATGTACGTGTTCATCATAAAAGGTCAACGGGGCAGCTCAAGATGACAAGATTTTTGTAACCCATGTTTAGGAAACCAAGTAAGATTGTCCAGTAGGACCAGATTAAAATAGAACCAGAAGTAAAACTGGTAAACCAGGGCTTGGCCCCTTTCTGCTTCAATGCCCAATCTGGTTTCCAAAACGTTGGTTGTAGCAATTCAGTAGTTATTTTATTGGAAGAGAACTATCAAATAATGGAAAACGGAATTGAATAGGCATGGACCAACTTTGTAACCTTATTGATGTGTATTAATTATTAAAGAAAATAAGTAATGTACATGAGAAATGTGCCAAACACCCCCATAAACATTAGGCTAGCTCATGCTACCTAACCCCATAATATATTCAAAATGTTACAATCATTTAACCATGATCCCCAAAACCAGTTGCCCCCTAGTATAGTTGATTTCTGATTGCTCCCTACTTCACCGAGGCATCTGCCCAGGTATATAGACCAATAAATACATTAGAGTAGGTCGCCCCTTCAGATGAGTTTGAAGACCCCCTAACCCACCCAACAAAAGAAATACAAATTTAGACCGAAAGCATGTCTGCAGAAGCATTTGGTAATTTGATTGATGCTAGGACTGTCCTAAGGCATCTATTTGGCCAGTCACTAGCTTCTAAACCATCTAAGAGGGCCAATGCATGCCTTAAGCTTATTGCACCAGAAAATACAAATTGGTAGACACTTCTTAATGGCTTAGATGTTAGGGACCAGCTAAAAAGAAGGGTTGTGAAGGCAGGGTTAGCATATCCCAGAGAGAAAAAACAAAGCCATATATACAAGTATTCTTTATACATATTCCACTCACAACAAAATAAACACAATAGCCTGTCTGACACAGGGATATAAAGCTACCTAACAAGCTTCCAACATGCAGCCGAATTCACCTGATATACTTCATTGCTTACCTCAGTAAGAACCTTGAGCATCTGATCAATGTACCATACTTTCTCTGGGGAAAACCTGTGGAAACAAGGAAGAATTTCAAATAAGACCATATTATATTAAAAAAAAAAGAAACTATAAAAAAAATTAACAGGAAAACATTGATATCATCACATGCAATGGCAACATGATTCCTTAGGTCACTAGACCTCCATGAACAGATCAAGCCGTATCCACTGTGCTAAGGAAATCTAGTACTTGTGATTTGTGAATATAGTAAGAAATGCTATGCTAGACCAATTACATTATTTTGTACACTGAACATAAACTCTTAGAAATTACGACAACCACATATTCAAGAATAATAAAACCAACAATCTATCAGCATCCATATTGTTTCCAGAATAAATATTGGTTGCCTCACATCCATACTAGTAGCTAAACTGGATATCTAATTCAAATGGACACCCAAGTCAATACTTAGTGGTAGATAACCTGGAAAATAGAAGAGGAAATATCTTCACAGTGATATAATTTGTTTTTGTATCAGTTCTATGTGGCAGATCATGTGGCCGGCACCTCTTTCTAGATTAATGCTTTCATCTTTTCTAGTGAACACATTGTCTCATTATTGACCGCGGAAAAAAGATAGTGCCCTTAGCATGTCCAACTATTTGAATACCATGGATTTACTAGCTATATTGGTTCTCGTTGATTTTAAGGTCTAGAGGAGAAGTGGTGACAACCAGGGCCAGGTTCCATTCTTGTTAGAATGGTCTAGTCATGATAAATAAATAACTTATATAAATTATAAAGCATTATTATTACAACAAGAACAAAACCAACAAGCCATCTTAAGTTTTCCAAGTCAATAGCAAAACTGAAACATATAGAACTACAAATATCTTCAACTTACTTTTCAACAATGGAGCAAATTTTGGCAGTAAGGTCGCCCTTGAATTCCTGATCACTTACTTCCAGATAATCAATGAGTTCTTTTGTCAAGGGCTTCACATTGCTGTCATTCACTAAAAGAAAAACTAGCTCAAGAGCCCTCTTCTTAATGGAAGCATCTGAATCCTGTACAACCAAATAAACAAAGCCATAAGACTTTCTAGTTGTATATTGAATGTTTCAGTTTAAATAAACTCCAATGAAACATGGAATATCAGGTTGGCATGGAACCATGGCAAATTCATATTCCTTTTGCAACATAAATCAATGATACAATGGTATGCAAGATAAATTATTTCCTTGTTTTAGATGCATAATGATTTAGGAAAACATTAGAACATGAGATAGACATAAAAGATAAAGCCATATTTACAATACTTGCAACCAAGTATTGAATTTCTGAGGCAGTGTCTCTTTATGAATTAGGGTTTGGAAGATCATAAGTTGTACAATATGTTTTGGGTGCTAATCTAGGTAATCATTTTTTGATAAACATGTAATATCCTCTGTGAAAAACAAAAGAAAAAAGAAAAAAAGACTTTGATACCACCAATTGAAGGTTTTGTTAAACTGAATTTTGATGGGAATAGCCAAGGTAATCCAAGCCCTTCTGGAATTGGAGGGGTGGTGAGAGATGGAGAAGGTAAACTCATAGCACTTTTTCTGGCCCTGCAGGTATGGAGGACTCTCTCAAAGCCGAACTGCTTGCTGCAATTCAAGGGGTGCAGATAGTTAGTTAGCTAAACTTCACAAATGTGGTGATCGAAGGGGACTCGAAAGTGGTGGTAGAATGGCTAAGGAATCCTGAGTCTATAATTTGGTGCTACAGGAGTGAAATGAAAAAATTTACTTGGCTAACCAGGAATATGAATTTAAGAATACAATGGGATGGCAGATGCTTTGGCTAAACAAGGGGTAAACAGGTCTATTTCATTCAGGGAACAGTTGTAATGTGTTTTTCTTTTGTGTGAGAGGTAGCAGCCTGTGCCTCTCTAAAGAATGATTGTAAAGATTTTACAAAAAGTTCTTTAATAAAACTCAATTTATTCATCAAAAAAAAAAGAAAAAAGACTTGTCATAATATTAAAGGAAGTGAACATACTAGAGTACTTCTTATAAAGTTGTCGGGTCTGGATTGTTATTTCGGTGGATTTACCCTTTCATTGTATTAACCAGCTTCGTAATTTAATATATTTCTGAATTTCTTGCTGATAAAAAAAAAACATACTACAGTACTTCTCTTCTTTTTTAGATAAGAATATTTTTGGCTATTAATTAGGAGTGCCTTTTCGGTCATTAGGTGATGGATCCAAATCACCACATATAGAATTTTATGATAACCAAACAGTTCATAGCTGGAATAACATATATTTTCCATTTTCAATTCACTCCCATGCCCAGCCACTCCCCAAACAAGACTCTGCATCTCTGCCTCATCACCCCAGTTTTTGCGAGACTGTTAGCCATGCCATTAGAAATCCTACAGATCCACCTGAACGAGCAGTTCAGGCTACTGCCTATTGCCTTTGCTTTTCTAACAGGAAACTGGTCCAAGGAGTCTCTCCTCTTCTGTACACAGCTAATAGATTTTTGCAGTATATTGATGGTGTGTTCATCAAGGATTTGGGAAGATTTTTTGGTCCCTCTTTAACATGTCTTCCATTTTGAATGAGTTTAGAGATAGCGATCATGATCTTTTAGTAAGGAATTACAGGTGCAGCAATGGAGTCAATTGTACTTTGACGTTAAAACCAGAGAGATTGAAGCAACATCGACACACAAGGCCACTATACAACTTCAAACAACGCTGAAAGAGTTCCAATGTTACCGATTTGAGTATGATGTTTATAACATATATACCGACGGTTCTTTCATGAGTAACCGAACTGCTACGACAGGTTTCATTATTGTATCTTCTACTAATAAATTTGTGTCAGCAATTGGACAAAAGATGTTTGGCTASACAGGCAGCTCATGCAGAACGGTAGGTGATTATTTTTGCTCTGGAACATGCTCAAGTTTCTTAGGAGTAAATTTGTTGTATGCAAGATTCAAAGTTCCGATACGTATCGGCTGATACGTGTCGTATCGGGGGCTTCCCAATACGCCCCTACAGTGGGTGTTTTGGGTCAGACCATGGTTCAGGGGGTAGACAGGCCTTAAACCAACCCCTCTGAACCAGATTGAAAAAAAAAACTAAAAAATAGGAGAAATGAGCCTCGACAAAGACCAATATGCCCCTACCGGTGTATCGGTCGTATCGATATTTTGAATCTTGGTTGCATGTACACTTTTGTATATACCAAGGAACATAAATAGTATAACCCATAAGATAGCTAGCAGATCTAGAAATATACATGATCAGAAGCTCAAGTTCACTAGTGACCCTCTGTATTGGTTAAGAAATCTACTTTGTACTTTTCCAGATGAGATTTGTAATGCTTCTCTGAGTTGTTAGGTCTTTTGCCATTAAAAAAATGAACTTTTAGTAAGGAGTGATGCTTCTGCTGTGGGGATGTGTGGATAAAATTGTAGCTTGTATTTTTACTGCAACGTGCTCTTCCAATTCCATGTAAGCTTTTCCATGACATTAGCACAATCATCTTTTTCATTGCTCAACCATAACGAAAAAGAAAACAAGTCAGATAAAACCTCAGAGAATAAATTCTAGCCATACAACACTGCTACAGTTTTGAGTAATGATCTAGTAAGTAACAAAGCATTAAGATATGCAGTACCTTTACACACTCCAAAATCGTTGCCCGATGCCTCTGAACTGCTTGAGCATCTACTAGAACAGCTTTCATCAGCATGTTCAATGCAACATACCTGACAATGGATATTTGCACAATACATAATTGATTAATTTGAGACCAATTTTTTAAGAGATCTATACAACATTTAAAGAATATAACTGGCAAATTAGGCCATAGGCTTATTAACAGAGTTCTACAACAAAAGAAGGTAACCCATGATTACACCAGCAACAGGGGGGAAAACTTAAAACACAATAAATAGAAAGTACCACCTAAATCCTCTGGCGACTATCCAATTAATTCAGAAACAAAATAAGTGCATAATTTAATGCTCAATTTCAATAGAAAAGAATGGTGAATTCAACAAAGTGAAACAAGAAATGTTGTTTTTTTTATCAGCAAAGTAGTTAAGTGAACAAGCTACAGAAATACAGAATTACATAAAGCATCAAGAGATAGTCATTGCCCTACAGAATATTACAATAAAGCCCAAAATAACTGCTGCCTGTAGACCCCCTGTTTGGCTAATCAGTCAGCCATCCCATTTGCTGTCCTCCTAAACCATGTAAAGGAAGCATTGAGCTCCCTTGCTAGGCTTTCAATCTCCCTTATGGCATGCCTGTAAATCCAAGGAAGAAGGAACATTATCCCTGCTGGTAGTCCAAGAAATCGCAGTCTAGAATCCCCTTTAATCTCCATGTTTTTTAAATCAGCTTGCTTAGCAAGTTTTAGCCCCTGTAGTAGTGCCAACAGCTCAGCCTTTAGAGAATCACCCACCCCTGATGGTCCTTGTGAAACAAGAAATGTTGTTCTCAACACAAACTACCTTATTTTGGTCACATGGAAGATGCAGTTCCCACCACAAGCCTCTTGGGATCCATGTCCCAACAAATGTTTATGGTTTCAACTGTTGCATTGTGAAATGCTTAACAAGAGACAAGCAGTTGAGAAAAGGTGATATAGGATAGGGCAGGGGGCCTACAAAGTACAGATCTAGTGGTGAGCTTTGTGGGATGAAGGGACTTTGGTGACAGTAATGATAAAGAATGGGGATGGAGAAGTGAGTAGACAGCTTGTTGTCCACCAAAGAATCAGATAGCAAGAGATTAGAAACAAGGATAACTCTTGCTGTTCGAGTAAACAACAAAGACATAGATCAATTAGAAGAACCAAAAATCACCAAACCAAACTTTATTTCATTAAAGCAACCCTTCTAAATTGCAATGAAAACGGCTCTATTTATAGGCTCATCATAAGAACTCAGATGCCCCTTCACAGACTCCAATTTGGACTAGGAAACTGATTCAAAAGTCAAAACAACTTCCACCACTTCAAAGCTAAGACAACCCCATAGGTAGCCCATGGAAACACTTAAATAAGGAGTCTAATATTAAACTTTTTTTTGATCATCAAAGGAGACTTTTATTTGAAATTGGATTTAAAAGTTTTACAACTTTGTGTATGGGACTAGAAGTCCCACACTATAACATATTTCTGTCCCTTTCACAATGCAGCCCAAAACAATTGTTGCCTCAAAGCCCCTTGTTTAGCAAGATAATCAGCTAGCCCATTTGCACTCCTTCTAACCCATTTGACTCTAATATTAAACTTTACTAATCTCATTAAAACTATCTTAATGTAAAGAAACCAGAAATCACTAAAAGTAGTAAGTTGTGATTTTACTATAAATAGTAGGTACAAAAATTGCCATGAATAGTAATTTTGAGATAACAGATTAACAGTAAATTGCTAGAAAAATTAAAACCCTATTCTTAAGACACCTACAACTAGAAAATAAATTCAAAAGTCAAAAAAAAAAAGGTTAATATACCTATCACCCAAAAATTCTGAAATACCAATCAAAAAAATTGAAATTTATGCAGGAATTAGAGAAGTGATTTATTTCTCCAAGGAGTCTTTCCTTGCTCTCGTACCTGCATCAAGAAGGATGGAGATTCAACCCTCTAGCTTTGTATTTTGGTTGTCTACAAGTAAAAACCATGGAGAACATTTTTCTGCATTTTCCATTTGGTCATGCTTTATGGAAAAAATTATTGTATCTCTTTCACTGAAGTTGCTGCTGTTTGAGATCACTAATGGTCCGTTTGGTTGCTGAGAAAGGATGAGATGAGATGGGATGGGATGAGAAAGGATGGGATGAAAAGGGAAATTTTTTTTTCTCAACCCTGTCACCTGTGTTTGGTTGCTGAGACCAATTTGTTCAAGGGAGAAGAAATGAAAGTTATTGGAAGCCGTTTTCTGGAAGAGGCAGACGCTGGTGGAAGAACGATGGTGGAAGAACGGCGGTGGAAGAACGACACCAGATCTGGAAGAGGCAGATGCCGGAAGCCATTTTCTAGCAATGATAACCATTGGACGCAGGAAGCTGGAAGCCGTTTTCTGGAAGAGGTAGATGCCAGAAGAGGCAAACGCCGGTGGAAGAACGATGCCAGATCTGGAAGAGGCAGACGCTGGTAGCCGTTTTCTGGCAATGAAAACCGTTAGACGCCGGAAGCTGGAAGCCGTTTTCTGGAAGATGCAGACGCCAGAAGCTGTTTTCTGATAATGAAAACCGGAGATGGCACCAGTGAGTAAACCGTTGGATGGCGTCTGCGAAGAAGACTATGCTCAGTTGCCTCCCTCGATGAAATTTTCTCACTCAGCTTCCTTTCTCAGTGGGGTCGCACCTATTTCGTGAGACCCCGCATCCCAGAAATTGAGACGTGTATTCTCGTCGCGTCTCACCCTTTCGCCCAAAACAAACCTGGGAAAATAGGAATCTGTGAAGAATATTCCTATTTTCCCATCCCAGTAGCATAAACCAAACGGACTGTAAAGGAGCCTTTGAGCAATGGGAAATCAAGAACCTTAGAAAAAGGGGTAAAAGTAAAACAGTGTGGAGCATCATTCACAATGCTTTTATTCAGCCCATATGGCAGGAAAGGAATGCTACAGTTTTTGAGAACAAGGCCATCTCAGAATCTGAGTTCCAAAGGAAGGTTATGGCAACTTTGCATATCTGGTTGTCAGTCCATTAAAGCCTTAGTAGTGTTCGATGTTGTCAGTCCATTACTATACATCTTCAAAGAATTTGTGGTAATAAAAAAATTGTAATAAAAGGTGATATACAAAAGGGACATCAGAGTACCAGACAAGAAGTATAGCCATCAAAAAGATGCATATGCAATAAAAAAAATCCCAAAATGGCAACATGTACCCACTACGAAATTGGCACAGTTCAGAAACAAATCAGATTCAGAGAAGCTTAAAAGAAAAAATAAATAAAGCCAAAAAACAGGAAGAAGAACAATTCTTCACTGAATAATTAAGAGAAAATCAACAGAACCTCCTCTTCTCCTTTTGTAGACTTCTTTTGCACCCTTATGCCTCCTAGGCTCCTACAAGAAAGTTTCCTAATCTAATCGAACACTCCTTATTAGAAGTCTACCAAATCTCTTCAAAACGAAAGTCCTAATTGAAGACAAATTCGGAAATTCCATTATTATGCTAATTTGGTAATTGCAAATCAAGATAGATACAGAAATCTTATGATGAAGCTATCTTGGTAAATACAAACTGAGATGGATCATTGAAAGCCAACCTAGTAAATGTTTACTCAGTTGGCCTGAATCCCATACTGCATCAACAATTCCATCCTAAATGATTCCACATCTATCTATAACATCTGAAGTGCATTCTAATCCCTAAGAATTCAACTCAAGACAGTAGAACCAGAACCAAAGAGAAGCCCAACTTTCAGCATATGTGATGCTCTCCACAGGCCTCTTCCAAAACCCTTTTCTTAACGGCATTAGAGGATCCTACTTCAATCAAGAGCAAAGATGGCCTTAAGGTCACAATAAGCCTAAAAAGAATACCATTTCTATGTGAGATAAAGTCACCAATTCCTTAGATCTGCCTATGTTTCTACCATCATTCAGCCTTCACTTGTCATAATAGGTGCAATGCCAATTTTTGGCCAGAACTGAAACAAACCACTGCTTATATAGCAAGATTAAATTCTACCATCAAACAGGACTGACACCTGGATTTAGGAGCCTCACAAGTCGCACCACATTTATACCTGATCTCAAAAAACTCAAAGCTGCACTCAGAATTTACACAGGTACTGAACAAGTGCAGGTTGGAAATGGTACAGGTTTTGAAAAATCTTAATCACAGGTTGGTCACATTAACAGATTCACTAGACCGATTTTGAAAGGTAGTTCACATGTTCCACACATTGATAAAAATTTATAGTTAGTTCGGCAATTTACTATTGATGATGGGTTGTTTTTTGAATTTTAGACATCTGAAGGATCATATCATGAAGAAAGTTCTGCTCAAGGGGATGAGTGACAAGTTTATACAAGCTGCAACCAGTTCAAGCTGATAAGAAAAATAAATCAGTTCCTTGCACATTTGTTGGAGTTCATTCATCCTTGGAATGTGGACTGTGGGGGTGTAAGGGAGAGTAGTATCCTGATCTTCGACATGAAAAGTGCATCTGTTGAGTCTCTAATTGGGAGAACAGAGAGAAAGAAAAATAGATGGAGTCTCATGCTCAAGGATTTTCAGGGTTGCTCTTTTAATATGAGACTCCAATTTAGACCCTAAACTCCTCAACACAGAGAACTACCTCATTTGTGGACAAAGCCAAGATTGAAGAATTATCAGAAATACCAGCAAGTACAGATATCTTTTCATACAGTTCAGAAGGTTATACTGCAAACTGGATAAGAAGAATACATTGTAGAGAGTCTGATAATGGCATATTCATATAAATCTATTATTACTTTTTCACAAACAAAACAATGAAGAGATGTCTTTGAAAAGATACTGCAACAAAAAGTCATTATTGTATAAAATATTGAAGACAATATTGTGACTTTTATTTGTCAATGAAGGAAAGTTAAAGGACATGAGCACAAAAATATATAGGATGAGCAGTAGCAAAAGATAACTAACCTTATGTTATTGTCACGGTTTGACAAGAATCTTCCCAAAATATTAATGGCAAGTACGCGTAAGCCACTATTTTCTTCAATGCTCATTATAGTTTCAACACATTCATAAAGAATTGCATTCCCTGCATTTTTGTTTGACTCGGTTTTTGTTGCAACCTATAAAAAGAACGCATTACAAAACAATGCAATTTAGAAAGTAAAAAGCATTTATTAATGCAAAGCACTTTCTGTTTATGTTTTGAACATTAACAAGTACTGTTACTCATGGATGAAAAGAGAATAAACAATAAACAACCACTTTAGAATAACCTTAAGAGTTGCACATTGAGTGAAGACACTAAAACTTTTCTCAGGATTTTGCAGTGGAGGATTTTTTTCAGGAACTGGGGGCAATATCTGGCTCTTTCCTCTAGGAAACAAAAAAATCCTTGAGATTTGGTTACCCCCAAGTGGTGGTTGGATGAAATTTAACTTTGATGGCAGCAGCATGAGAAGATGAATCTACTTTTGATTACAAAGTGACACAACTTGTGTAAGTTGATGGGGTACCTCCAAAGCCACTTTTTTAGAAAGGGTAACAGAGATTTCCTTAATAAAGAAGACTACATGAGAAGATGTAAAAAAAGGAAAACAGAAGCAAACACAGATAATAAAGGAAGATTGTAATTGCTGTACAAAGGATCCCTATAAATTTAGATAAACCATCAGCTAAAGCATTCAGCTCCCCAGGAACCCAAACCAGACTTGCAAACATGTTACCCCATAATGATGTGTTTCTAATTCTCAAAGTCAATCTCCCCAATCCAAGACTACCTTCATCCTTTTTTTTTCACATTATATCCCAACTGATCAAGTGATCTCTCTTTGATTCACTAATTCTCATAAGAAGTTATTCATGGTTCTGTCAAGATCTTGACCACAACAATTCTCACCATAACAAGATGAATTAAGGAGTCTTTTTTTTCAATCCATAAAATTAACATTTTATTGTTTTTTCTTTTCTTGAAAAAAAGTAAGGTAATTGTATTAATTGTGTTGAGTGGGGCCACCGATTTGTGTTGTTGAATGGGCCGATTTGTGTTTAGTTTATTTCCTTTTAAATTAAGAAGTTGTTGGGCCTTGGGCCCATTAGTTTTTATTTTTAAAAGRGTTGTAACTATTTAGTTTGAGTTGCCGCCCTACTAAGGGCATCTTTGTAATATCTCATATTTAAGTTAAATATAAATAGAATGAGGGGCTGGCAGCTAGGGTTATGATACACAATCCTACTTGACCTTCTCCTTTCTTCCCCTTTCTCTTCCTATTGTTGAAATCTACAACTTTCTCCTCTTCCTTTCACAAGAAGCTTGATCGAATCAGCAGATAGTGGCTTCTACTTGGTATCAGAGCAGGTTAAAGGTTCTGGAAGTGATTCTCTCATGCAGCCCTAGATCGGCCGACTGCATGGAGATTTAAGAGGCTGATCGAAGCTCTCAAGTAAGCCCAGTTTTTGGATTTTCTTGATGTATCTGTATGCCCTGTAGCTAGTCTAGGGTTTCTCATCAGAATCAGGAAAAACTGGAGAAATGGGAAGAGTCATGTTTTTGTTGGACTCTTCATTGTTGACCAAGGTAGTGGCGCCCTAATTTTTTAGGGTTCCTTGGAGTTTTTTATAAGGGGCGATTCAAGTCCCACGTGGTTTGGAGGCTTCTAGAGAGGGTGGTTGCTTTTTCTCTCTCTTCTCTCATCCCACAGAAAAGGAATCTTTCGTGGAAAGAAAGTCCAGGACACCAAAGGAGTGTCGTTGGTTCCAGAAGGTGTTTTGTTTGTTCTTGCTGCATTTTTTATTTGTTTCTATACCCTTTTAAGAAGCATGGAGGGACACAAAGTTGAATATAAGCCCGAGAATGAAATGGGACCTGTGAGAGGAGGTGCTGGAGACGCCTTCAGAGTTGGAACCATTACTACAGTTAGGTTGGATGGTACAAACTACTTGGAATGGTCCCAAACTGCAAAGATGGCCATTGGGGCTCGTGGAAAATTGGGGTATATTACTGGTGAAGAGGTGAAACCTGAAACTGGCAACTCCTGGTGGGTGCAGGAAAATTATATGGTAATGACATGGTTGTGTAATTCCATGTTGCTACATATAAGTAAAAATTTTTTATGGGCAAATACT